GATTTGAAAAATACCTCCTTCAGCTGGATTTGGATATGGCAATGTGGGGACTTTGAGTGAGGCCTGAGGATCGTGTGAGCTTCCTTGAAGTTCCCTCAAGCTATTCCAATGCTTAGCTTGCCTTGAGGATGCTTGAAACTCCCTGCACGAGTCAACCTGCAACCTTCAAGTTTGAAAATGGTGATGTCTGAAGTAGAGGTTACAGCAACAGGACAAGGGCTTTGATAGTTTGGATATGATGTGGATGAAGTGTTTCAAGTGTCAAGAGGCAAAACGCACGAGAAAAATATGACTTGGCTAGGATTTTGCAGAAGCTGCCCTGTTTGGACAGAAATTTGTGTTTTTTGAGTTTGAGAGTGTTTGGGATGTTATCAATTCGTGTTCTAGCTTGCAACAAGTTTGTGAATGTGTTTTGAATGATGTCAAGCCCTCCCTTTATCAGATGTACAAGTTTTCTTGACTTTTGCAACTTTTCTTGCATTTTAAGAAAAGTGACAAGACTACGCTAACAGGCTTGTATCTGGCTATCTTGTGAGCTGCAAGGGTTGGTATAATTTACTTGTGATCTATAGAAAATTCTTGTACTCAAGGAATAAGTCCAAGGCTCAAGGCTGATAAAGTTGGAAAAGCTTGCTTTATCAGAATGGCATTGTGCCCTTTATGCCATTTATGGATTTATTCTTTCTACAAAGTTCCAACAGCCAAAATAAAGCCATTATCCCATGAGTTTGCATTTAATTATGGAGTGTAGAAGGGAATTAGGACCTGTAATGTAAGGTACAAGCATGCTTGATCAGATTTGCAACTTGGTGCATTGTGAAAATGGCTTTAACAAAAGTGACAAAATGCCATTTTCTCTTCTTCGATTCTCCCTAACCACAAATGATCTTGGAGAGTTCTTGGACATTTTGGAAATCTTTTAATGTGATTTACAATCCATATTTGAAATTTATTTTGAGATACCTCTTGGAACTAGGTGAAAAATTCCCATGAAATTGGGTCAAAAACCTGCCTAAATTAGGGCAAATTTTCACTAAGTTAAAAAGTTTATGGACCCCTATTCACAAATTCATATCTTGAGATTCAAGCATCTTTTGGGAAAACTTTGTGAATAAAAGTTGTAGATTTCATGTAGGACTACAACTTTCATGTAGGAAGTTTCCTTTGAATCCAATTTCATCATGGTAAAAAAGTTGGGAAAAAATAAGAAAATTTCCATACTTAGAAATTTTCTAAGTTATGAAAAAATTTCAAATTAAAACCCTAATTTGCAAAATTGATTTTCTTGATCAACAAGTTTCATATTTTGATATATATTGATGAATTATGACCCTTGGAACTTGATTTTGACCAAAAAGTCAAAGTTTGACTTTTTAGTGTACAATTGACTTTTGATCAGTTGACTGTAAAATTCATCTGTCAATCATATGCATTTGAGATCTTTTGAACTATGAAATTAGGTCAAGATGATGCCATTGAGTCCTTGAAATCATGCTTGAACCCAATTGGTCATTGGCTAGGTTAAAAATAAAAAATTGCCCTTTCTCAGTCAAAACCCTAATTTTGACCATTTTGCCCTTTTGATGACTTGATTAAAATTCTTGAGGAGTTGTGATCCAAACTTGATCAAATGGTACATAGGAGTCTAAAATGTTGTTGTGGATCAAAAATTATGAAATTTGACTGTAAATTGGTCATGGTTGACTTTTTTCCAATACAGTTGATTTTTAGGTCAACTGTCCAATTGACTGGGCAAAAATGTGATTCAAGGCTTGAAACTTGTCATGAGAAATCTTAGGGGTCTAAGATGGTGTATGAAAGTCACGTGAAGCATTGATGGTCCAAAAGTCCTTGTGCAAACTCAAACCCTAATTTCAGGTCATCAATGCAAGATGATGCCTTGAGCTGACCAAACCTTAATCTTGTCTTGAGTCCAAGAAGTCTTGTGAGAAAAATCTTGATAAATGAGAGGGAAAATTTTGGAGTACAACAGCCTGATACTTCTTTGAAGCGTACCCCCCATTTCATTTTGTTGGCAGACCCATTTCAATTTTCTTTATTTTGTTTTAACTAACATTTGTGTTTTAACCAATTTTATTTCATTACAATACTAAAATCAAAAAATCATAAAAATATTAGGTTAGTCTTTTTTTAAATTAAATTAACTTGGTAAATTAATTAAATAATAACTTTAACCTTTTATTTAATTTAAAAATAAATATACCTAGGATTTAATTCATTTAATTTCTTGTATTCATAACAAAAATACAAAAAAAAACTTAGAATTAATTTCTTTTTTAAATTTCAATTTTCTTTAATAATTAACTTTTTTTTTCTTTAGATCTAGATTATTTAATTAATTATCAATTAAACATTTTCTTACATAAAACAAAAACAAACAAAAAGATTTCCTTTCACTTAGGTTTTAGACGTCTTTTCCATTTCGCGCGCGTTTGATATTTCTACTTTATTTTCATATTAATGTACTTGCTTATGGGACGTAATAGAATTAAACTAGGATTTTACATTTACTGCTTTTATTTCCCCCATTTTTGTACTTGTAATAATCCCCCTCCCTGAAGCCTTGTAATAGTTTAGTATTTACACTTCTGCGCTTTTAATTATTGCAAACTATTAACTGTTTAGATGCATGACTAATAGAATTGTATGGCAAGAATAAAACAAAACACTAGCAAACCTAACGCAAGACAAATAACTGAATACAAACACAATTGCACATATACACCTCTAGGATATCCCACTATGGTTGCCTTCAAAGAAACAGTCACATCTCTCGAAACGTGAGATATTTTAGTGGCTGCCCTCCAGTTTAAAGATCATAAGTCCCTTGATGACCCTCTCGACGTTGCCTGGGTATGATCTTAAAAACCCTAGGGTAGTTACTAAAGTTTCTTGCCCAGTTGCCTTTGTGACTGTATAAACGTCCCTTCGATTGTCCCTCAAACATCCAACGACTAGGGCTACCTACTCACTAATAGTAGGATAGCACTGTCTAAAGGAAAAGAGGAAAATAACAACTTTTCGAGTAAAGTAGATAGTTGTTAGATGTTTGCTTAAACAATTTTTACACTTACACAAAACTTCTTTCAAAAAATATTTTCAAACATTATGTATACGTTCTCTACCATTCCGAGAAACATTACAAAGTTCGCTGCACTAAGGCGCTTTCAAAAATACTTTTTAAAACCCACAAAGCACAAGGTATTTCAAAATGAGCTAAGCATCTAAGAGTCCGTAGATAAATACGGATGGAAAGGGTGCTAACACTTTCCCTTTCCATAATCTACCCCTCTTACTCAGAAATAATCTCGAAAGGTCTTTTTCTATTCTTTTCACCCTTTCCTTTGTTGGATAAAAGAAAAGTCGATGGCGACTCTTGCTTACCACAACTTTTGCAAACACAAACACAAAACCAGTACAATAGTCGGTTCTGCCACCGTATTACAGTTTCCATCCAAAGCCAATATTGGATGTTGTTACCTTTTCTTCCATCCAAAGCCAATATTGGATGTTGCTATCTTTTGTTTTCACCCAAAGTCAATATTGGATGTTGTAATTTTTTCTCTCGTTTAAAGCCAATTCTTAGACGTTAAAGTTTTTCCTTCATCCAAAGCCAATATTGGATGCCGTGTTTCTTTTCCGTCCAGCGTCTTTCCTGGACGACTCTGACGTAACTTGATATTTGGTCTCATCCCACATCTATTGTTCTTCTAGATGTTTCTGACTGTATTTTCAAGAGAGTTGCTCACCTCATTCAATGCCATTCTTGAATGTCGCTGCTTGCGTTTTCAGGTTTTGTCTCCCCTTCTCAAGTATTTCTGGTTACTCCTTGTCACCCTGATGGATATCCAGAATATCTTGTATTTCTCAGCGTGCCTTGCCACGTCATTTCATCTGAACTGCCATAAGTTTCCAGTTTCAAGTCTTTCCATATTCCCACAGAGTCTGTCTCATCTCATACATCATTCAAAAAATATATGTAAAAAAAGAGTCCATACATTCATTCATAACATATGCCATCATCTCATTGCATCAGGGACGAAATTCGGGTCTGTTTATATTTAATTACTTTCCGCATATCTGGCTAAAACATAATTAAATAGGGGCAGTTGTTGCACCCTAAATTTCGCCCCTAATTTTTTTCAGTCGCACTTTTATATCATATTTTGTCATTTGGTCACAATCATTAATAGATACATTCATTCATCACATTTTGCATCATTAGTCGCATTTAAGTTGATCAAAAGTCAGTTTAAATCGATGTTTGCATCGTTTTGTAATTGAAAAATACCCGATATTTCACTTCATGCATTTTTATCTCTTTACTCGTTTCTTGTATTGCTCCAAGTTGTTTATATGTCGATAGTATTAATATTTCGATTTTACAAATAGAATGTTAAAAGAGAATCAACACTGTGCGGAAAATTAGCGAGAAAAATATTTCAAGTTTTCACCTTTTACTGATCATTTTATGAATCTGAGTTTCGCGTAGATTATGACGGTATGCTCGCTTTATTTTTTCGGTACAGTTTGAAGTCTTGTTTTTAATCGTAAACGTTTATTCAGCCTGATATTTTTATTCTCATTTTATTTCGATTTTGATCATTTGAATATTTTTTCATTAATCTCTGAGACAGGTAGTTTATTTTAATGTGTTCATTTCATTTTTTCGGATAGATTTTTATCTATTTTTTTTACCGTTTTTAATCATTTTGGATCTATATTTTTTATTCAGGAAAAAAAAATTAAATTGAGTTAATTTTTACACTTTTAGATTTTGAAGTTCTTTTTAATTTTAGAGGACTTTTTAGTCATAAAAAAATATTTGTTACACTTTACTTTGCTTTCATTGGTTGTAAGCAAAAGTTACGAATAGATGAAATGCCAAACAGAATTGCAAAGCAGAATTCATTTTCCTTTCCTTTCTTTCTATATAATAGCTTTAGTTATTTCTTTGTAAAGGAGAACTAACAGTAATTACTTTCTCTCTCTTCACACAAATAACAAGTCATTTTTTTCTTGGTTCAAACAACAACTCCTCCACCTCTGTTTCTTTTCAATTGCTAGCAACCCACAAATCTTCCTTCTTCAACATACCATCTCTCCCCCACCTTCTCACGCACAGCATAATCCGTCCTCTCCTTCAAACCCCCTTCCTCCCTTCAATTCCTCTTCCAAACAGAACAAACACAATTCTACCTTCCTTCCATCATCCTCTATTATGTTCGTCTTCCGCGAAGTTATCCGCAAACCAGCTACCATCTCCATTCACTGCGCGCTAACCTCTGTCTCCCTTAGCCACATCCAAAACCCCTCCAGCAACATCCCATGTTATCCCTTTATTCCACAAGCTTATCCCTTCACTTCCCCACAAAAATAATAAACAATCTCATAACTACAAAAGCAATACTCCCACCTCTCTTCAATCTCAGTAACCAACACAAACACCAAACTTCACCCATCCCTTCAATTTTCCGCCTCTGTTTCTTCCATCAACACAGCAGTCTCACAACCCATTCCGCTAACCCACCTGCAAACTGTATACTCCCTCTTCCTCACCTCACTACAAACTCCCTCTGTATACCCAATCTTCATCCATCAATTCACTCAGCAACATCCTTCAATTTCTGTACAACATCCATCGTTAACATCCAGCAATCCACCTTTCTGATTCACCTACAACAACCGTCATTTCAATTTCTCAATCGCAGAACAACAGCTGATACTCCTCCATCCTAAATCATCTCCGCGAGCTTCTGTTCCAGCCGACATCATCGACTGTATCGGCAAACCGAGTTTCTGATCTCCATAATTTCACTCAACTATTCCGCTGGCCAACAACTTCTCAATCTGCTTAGCTTCCGACTTCAGCAATCCTCTCCGTCAATCTCGCAACAATTTTAGCACCTTTATTCTGATAATTTCGCCACCATTCGATAACTTTCAATTTCTTTTGTTTGTAACTGTGATTGCTGTAAAAATCTCTGCGAAATTGGTTTTGATTGTGAAATTCGATTGCAATAGTCATATGCCGATAATTTTGTGATATTCTGATATGCTGAAACTTTAAGATATAACTGCTATGTTGTGATAATAGTTGGTGTTAGGTTTATTTGGAGTGCTGTGACAGATAACCGTGACGCTAAAAGTTTATGTGTTGAATTTCTAAAAAAAACTGTTGATTGATTTTGGTTTGGATTAGTTCGTTATGTTGTCATGTTGAAATTCGCCACGTTAAGTTCTGGAAAATCAATGTTATGGTTTTGTTGTTCGTGTTTAGTATTCATGTTAAATAGATTGTTGTATTTTGAAGTTTGTTATTTGTGCTAGAGATCTAGGTTGAGTTGTTAGTGTTGTTGGTTAAACAATAGCATGTCTATACTAATGGATAGTTAATTGTGATAAATTTTGGTTGCTGCCCAGTTTTGTTTCGATTGAGTTTAGCTTGTTTCGAAATCAACTTTCTATGTTTTAATTTTGGATTGAATATTGGCATGAGTTCTTTGGTGTTAGTTTTGTTTGTGAATTAAAATATTTAAATAATTGATTGTTTGGTTCTTGTTTTATTCACCTTTTGAATTTAATTGAAATACCATGGGTTGTTCATAATTGTGCATCAGTGTCGATTTCATTTTGGTGTTTGAGCCATTTGAAAGTGGTTTTTGATGATGTTTCAAGTTGTATTCAATTTACAAAGTTCGTTGTTAATGTTGGTGTTTATATATAAGGGTGGAATCATTTGGAAATTGATGTTCATGAGCTTTTATGCATAATATGTTGTTGTCCAGCTTTTGGTTTGTATGAATGTTGTTTGATTTAACCTTGATTTTTCATGTATCGGAATTGAATTATAAATTGAGTTCTTGGTTTTAATAGAAAATATTCATTTGTTCATGTGCATTCATGCGATTTCATTTCAATTTTATACTTTACTAACACATATTTTCATTGTTGCAATTTCATTCATTTTATTTTTTATACCGCTTATGCTACTATCGAGTTTGTTTATTGTGAAGGTTTCCGAGAATTGCTTCAAGCATTCATTCATGCATAGCGCATTTATACTTTTTCTTCATCCCCTTTTTTTCTTGTATTTTTTATTTACTATTTCGATTTAATATTTGGTATTGTAAATATATAATTGTACATAATACTTTTATTTTTACATTTTACTTGTAAATAAATTCAGGTTATGTAAATATTTTGTTCATTGTGTTGCGATTTTAAATTTTAATTCAAATTAACTTATGAAAATCGTACAGACACATATAAATTTTCCCATGTTGTTGGATTTGTCTGTGTATTTCATGTGATCCAGGGAATCTTATCCGATACCATAAGCTTTATCCATCACCTTTGCGCTTTATCTGATTTCTCTCTTGACACGCATTTCTCGTCTGTGATTTATTTTCACGTGCTGAGCTATCTTTGCTTGATGCTTGGAGTATTATCTTACATCTGGGTTTTTTGATGTTGTCGGCTTGTGATTCATTTTCACCTGAGATTTGGTATACTCTTAGATTATTTATTTGTCTGTAGCTTTAAACCCAAAGGGATGGGAACACGGTATTGACTTTATCATGTCAAGTACTGATTTCTTATTCGGTCGGATTCTCTTTACCTTATCTTTTATCCCCCTGTACATAGGATATTGTCTTCTTTTCTCCCATTCTTTAATTTTCAAAACCTTCTCATCTTTTTTTTAAATCTTCTTTGTTTATAAACTTGAATCGCTTTCATAATAAACCTCGACTTTGTCGAGTGCTTTTTCTTTTAAAACTTCTTTTCTTTAAACAAACTTCAATTCACTTAATCATACTTTGACATTTCTTTTCAAAATTAACAACAACAAAAAACATTGCAACTCATTCAAACTCTTTTGTGCGCTCGAGCACTTTTATCCTTCAAAACTTTTTTAAGATGAGACATAATTCATTGATAGTCGAGCAACATTCTCCTATCCACATGGTTATAAAGGTGTCAACTTTTCCACTTGAGTACTAGAGGTGTTTTCAAACTCTCACTCTTGTTGACGCAGGGTCCATCTTTCTCACCCCTTGTGGGCGTTAGTCGAGATTTCTCTCTTAACAATGACAACTTGTCTCTTCGTTTAAAACCAATCAACAGACAAGTCTTTTCTAGCCAAACTACGGTGCTCTGACTTTCCCATTGTACGAGGGAGTACGTAGGCACTAAATCTTACGACCCAAGGCGAGCAAAAATAATTAAAAAAATATTTTCTTTTGTTTACAGATACTCATTCATTCTTTTTCTTTAGCAAGTAAACTTTTACATGACACTTCTTTTAAAAGAAAAACAAACAAAGTGGATCCTGCAGAGTACCGTAGATGGTTATGGTGCTAATATCTTCCCTTTGCATAACCGACTCCCGTATCTCGATCTCTGATTTTTTATTTCATTGTGGATTTTGTTCGCTTTTTTTCCCATTTCCCTTTAGAAACAATAAAGTGCGGTGGTGACTTCATTATGTTGAGATAAGTCAATTGATGGCTTAAATCTCAAATCTTTACCGCTACATCTTCTCTTATGTTCGCATTATTCTCTCTTTTGCGACTGTGCGACAAGTACTCTCAGATGTTGTTGGACCATGGTGAGAGAATTATCACATTCACAAATCAATCTTTGAGAATACTGGAGTTAAAATATCAGTGAAAGTTGCAGGTATTCATTGGCACTAAGGTACTAGGTCTCATGCTCCAGAGCTAACAACATGATACCACAATACCCTTAGCTGTGACGGTTACCTCCCAATTGCTCAAATGTTGGCACGTCATGGTGTTGTTTTCAACTTCACATGTATTGTGATGCGTGACCACGAACAGCCACATGATGCACTTTGCGCATCTCAAAAGCTCATGAATCAAGTGGCTTTAGCCACCCAGAAAGCACAAGTTCATCTTGCCGGCGAAAATGCATTGCCACGGTATGATGAACATGCACACGAGCATATATTAAGGCGTCATAGTTGAATGTCAATGGTAACTCAGATGACACATAGATGTGTGCATTCACATACCTGACGATGAACCAATATTTGTTTCAACTTGATAATTGGAGAAAGTTTGTGGCATTTGTGAAGAAGATGAAAGAAGGAAAAAGTACTGATAAATGTTGGGAGCAAGTGGAGAGAGAAGCTGAGCATTTTGTGCGTGTTACACAACCTCTTGTGCAAGAGGTTGTTGCTATGACGCACTAAGAATTATTTGATATATAAGGTCAAGAAATAGTCAAAATTAGGTGGTGAAAATTTTAGTGAATCATCAACTTATTTTGTGGTTGAAGATTGTATAAATTTATTGTATTATTATTGTATTTTACTTTATTTTATTTCCACTTAAAACTTCTACTTGTTACACTTTATAATAACTTATATGGCATAGTTAATAGTTTAGAGACAATATTCTATAAAGTTGCTTATTTTATAATAACTTATATGACATAGTTAATAGTTTAGAGACAATATTCTATAAAGTTGCTTATTGTACATGAAATATTATTTTCTTAAATATCTCTCTCTCACTTATATTATTTTGTAAATGAATGAATGTTCATCTTTAATATATTAATGGACAAATTGATAAATTTTATTTTTAATGGATGCTGATAATTTTGCTTAAAATAATATAATTTTGCTCTGCCTCTGCAAGAACCGTGAAAATCTACAAAACTAGGATGGAGGATATAGAATATAGATTTGTGAGCCTAGAGACTAGGATGTATGCATCGCCCCATTGACATCCCTATGCAGAAACATGTGGCATCCTTGCATTCTCCATTGCCATAGGGTTCTTTAGAGCATTCTTAAAAGCATTTATGCGTCTCAAAATTGCTAATGTGAATCCTCTTGTGGCACCAATGTTCTGGAACTTTAATACCATGGATTTTGAGTTGTTGTACAAAATTAGAGGCCAATCCACTTTTCCACAGAATACCAATTCACTTGTCCTAATAATATAAATGAAATCCCACATCACTACTCTTTCAACCGAAAACTTAATGGTAGTTGTTGTTACTATATTTTTTTAATCACAAACTTACAAACCATTAGAAATTTTATGGTGCATATGCTCTTAGTGAGAGATTAGATTAGGGAGGGACGCATAAAAACAAAATAGAACATAGTGATCAATCTTATATTAGTTTACTTAATTATTTTGCCAAAAGATATAATAAGTACTCCCTTCGTTCCTTTTTAAGTGTCGTTTTAAAATAATTTTTTTATTTCTATTTAAGTGTCATTTTTATAGTTTAATATTATCATTTGTCAATTATATCCCTACTTTCTCAATAACTCCACTTCACATTTTTCATAAAATTAATTATTTTCTCAATTAGTTATTAGAAAAAGAGAGATGATGTATGATTGAACTTATTTGGAAAAAGAAAATAAATGAGGGTATAATAGGAAAAATAACTCTAATAATCCACTATCTTGGTTGAAGAGTTTTATGCTGAAATAACACTTAAAAAGAAACGGATGGAGTATTAGTTAGTGAGTTATATTTCTTATTAACAAAAAAAAGAGTTTAACTTATAACCTCCATGTTAATCTAATTCGTATGATTTTTCTCAATCTACGTCCACCTAATAATTCTCAGAGAGAGCTATTAGAGGTTGATATTTGTCAGAGGAGTAGACCAAAGTACTAGGGAAGATGAGATTAATACCTGACAAAATAAGCAAGTTTAGCTAAATTCCTTATCCAGGAAATAGCTAAA